TATTATAGAGTTTCTCGATCTCGGCAGGGTCCTTACGTACCGGAGATAACATGTGTCGCGGATATCGATATTAAGGAACAATCATCTGTTTTGTGTTGTGTTTTGTGTTGTTTTTTATTTTATTTTTATTTTGGTTATTTAAAAAAGATCTCACGATGTTACGTGTACTTAGTATGACTCCTTTTTGTATTTTTGCATCTAGATTTTCGCCTATGTTTAGTGATTTCGAATTTCTTACAAACGTGCTGTATTCCTGTAGCTGAATTTATCATTTGAGTTATCCTTACTTAATCTTGCTTCCAAATTCTTTTTATTTTTTATGCCAGTTAAGTGTATTTTTAAATTTTTTATCTATATTTATTGTAGATTTTTTCTTTTTTTTTTGTTCGTAGGAGGGGGAAATGTTTTATGCACTGACCGGGGGCGCTAGTCTCTATACTACCTTCTCCGAGTGTGGGACTCCCACCAAAGCGGGTTAGGCTACCCACTAAAACCCAAACTCCGCATCTGGCACCGCAATTCTGCATGTGTTCAGATGCAATAGCGCGTTGCTCGGAACGGCTCTTTTGTAGGGGCGTTTCATTCGGGTGTCCTCAGTAGACATCCGTCCTCTCGTTTGCAGTACGAATTTCAGGTATCTCCCTATTGCTTCCCACTGGAGATCATTACCCCAATTATGTTGTTCGGAATTGTGTATCCGTACTTTTCCTCCAACATTCTGCGCGAAATCAAGAAGTGTGGAATGTATGATGCAGGTTATCTTCGACGTTTCCACAGTAGTGACAGAACGGTGAGTCCACCCTTCCCATTCTAAGAAGATATTCTCGGAAGTAACCATGACTGGTAAGGAATTGTGTCAGGCAGAAATCGACTTCCCAATGCTGTCTGTCCGACTATTCAAACGTGGTGGAGTCTAGACGTGATTTGCTTAGGCGCTTCGTTCTCGCAAAAATTTGCAATTAAATTAACAAAACGCCGTGTATATGTCAGTCAAAGGTTGAGCGAAACCGTGACAAAATAAAATGTGCTATTTGCAATAACTTTTTTCACTGGCACTGTGTTAATATTATAAAAAGTGATATCGATTTTATGAAAAAAAATAAAACAGCATTCAAGTGTAATGGATGCATCACGAAGAGACATGCTTCCATGCGCTCACCGCCGAACACAGCACACAACAAACTGCCGACTATGATTGGAAGTGATAATCCGCTAGCGGCAAATCTCTTAGCTGAGGAAGACCATAGACCAAACTCATTATCCGACTCTTTGAAAAACGCACTCAAACCACACCAAGCTGAACAAAACAATTCATCGAAACCGCCAACAAATCAGCAGCACAAACAATACAGGGTAGCGGCTCCAGAAACAAATACTCAACAGCAGAAGGTAACACTTGAACTAGTGTATAATGAGATTCTAGCTCTAAAAGCTGTTCTTCCTGTCATTCAAAAACTACAAGAAAAGAAAAAGGTATTAGAGGAACAGTACAAGAGCTACAAAAAGAGGTCGGTTTATTAAAACAGCAAAGAAGAGATAAGTGCGTTGAAATTGTTGGAATTCCTAATGTCAACAATAACAATGCCTTTAACTACGCTCTTAAAATTTTTACCGATGGATTGGATCTAAATTGATCAGCTGACCAAATTGATGACTGCTACGTGAAAAAAGTAAAAAATAGCAACACCAAAAAAATGACGTTTTATGTGTTAGCTTTGTCTCTCGACACACTAAAAAAATAATTATGAAGAAGAAATATGAAATGAATCAAAATATTTGCTCAAAATTATTCGGGCATGAAAACAATAACAAAATATAGGAAATTACTTAACCATGCTACAAAACTTAAAAAAGAATTAGGTTTTAAGTTCGTTTGGTTTGCAAGTGGAAAAATTTGTATGCGTAAACACGATGGTGATAAGGCTATTGTAATTGGTTTATTTGAAGATCTGCCTAAGCTTAAATCTTAGTCGTAAATCTTAAATACCATGATTGATGTAATAAATAAGGATCTACGAATGAACCAATTAAACGCCTCACTATCAGATTGCAAACATGTTAACTTTGAAAATATTTCAAATAATTCCAAAAATTATCTTTTACATAACAAAACATAAGAAGCATGCGAAAAAATTTTGATATTTTCGTCACAAATTTGAACTGTTTAAAGATTAGGCCGGACTTTATATTCTTAACCGAAATATGGATATATGAAGAAGAAGTATCTCTTTTTGATATCCAACTTGTTTGCGAACTGCAACAATAAATATGCAGCTGGTGGTGTTGCGGTGTTTTCCAAAGTAGAATTGTGCTGTACAACCCAAGCATTAAATTTATTAAGTTCTGATGTAGAGCAAGTAAATTGTCTAATAAATAATCAAGACTTCACGTTTATATGCATTTACCGGTTCCACGGGAATGCTCTTGAAGTTTTTTTAAGTGACTTAGAAAGTCTTTTGAAACACAACAAATCAGATAATCTTGTGGTGATAGGTGATATGAACCTAAATATTTGGCAGGGCTCTAACACTTTTGTCATCTTTTGGTCTACAATCATGTATAAATAGGCCAANTTGAAACACAACAAATCAGATAACCTTGTGGTGATAGGTGATATGAACCTAAATATTTGGCAGGGCTCTAACACTTTTGTCATCTTTTGGTCTACAATCATGTATAAATAGGCCAACTCGGATAGTGAACACCTCTGTAACTTGTATTGACCACATATTCTTCCGATGTAAGCAATCACAAAAATTATGTGTAAGTAGTTCAGTACATGATTTTGAAATCACAGATCACTGCCTAACGTGCATATGCTTTAAACGCTCTGTTTCTAGCAAACCATTTGGAATAAATAAGGTGACCTATCCGAAAATTGACTTCGATGCATTAAATATAGGATTAAGGTTTGAGGGATGGAAAAATGTTTACCAGCAATCTGTAGTGCGTTTCTGTAACTAATGCGATATTATATCGCAAATTCTGTCAGAACGCGGTATCGCAAAGTTCATATCGCAAACGATAAACGAAGTGTTTCTGTAACTAAAAAAACTCACCTTGCGATAAATTGGTGGTGAGTATTGTAAAAATTACACGAATTGTCAGAATGAAGAACATATGTTCTTGTATAGTTGTGAGAAATTGAAGTAAAAGTAATAATTTTTATATATTTTGATTATTTAAATCATTTAAAATATAGAATGATGGTTGCACATCTACTTGCATTGGCTGATGATCAAAGGAACATGTTGCGCATTCATAGGCGCTTTTTAAGGGATAATACTGATCCATTTTATTTGCCAGAAGCGCGTTTCATTGAGTTATTTAGATTGAATAAGGAGTCTGCGCTGGAACTTCTTGGTGAAATAAGTCCGTATATGAAGGATGGTATACGAATAACTTTTGTACCAAAGGCTATAAGGATGGTATCGGCATTGCATTATTATGCTACTGGATCCTTTTTAAGAGATATCGGGCAAGATTTTGTGTGTCCACTAAGTAAAACTACGATTTGCAGATCTATTAATGAAGTGACTCTTATCATTCAAAATAAGATAATGATGAAATACATTAAATTTCCAACTAGTTTGGAAATGAAAAATAGAATTCGACAAAGGTAATAATACATATCGTTACCTTAATTCACAAAGGCGCTAACCAAAACTTTTTTTTCGAAACTGCGTTTTTCACAGATTTTGGCAGTATATATTAAAATATACCTTCAATAAAAATTTTAAAGTGTTAG